GAGCCCCCTTGTGGCTTTTTCGGCAACCCCCCCCAAAAAAAATCTCTCCCCCCCCCCCCCCCCCCCCCCATGTTTATGTGCACATCAAACTTATCTTTTGATTAATTATTCTGGATTGTTTTTTTCTGCTCAACATACCTGTTGGAGACTGACACATTGAAATACTTCACAAAAAAGTTGTGAATCACTGAAAACTTCATGCTCCGCGTATTACTCCCTCAGGACCGTTCTTTCTGATTCCATCTCGTGTCCAGGTGTGCCGAGGGAGCATGGCCACGAAATTACCAAAAGTACGTTCGACACGCTCCCGCTGGGTTTCGTTGGTCGATATCTCAGGAACGCCTTGAGCAAATTTCTCAGAAATTTGGCACACACTTGCACTAAAGGATGAACTTAAGAATTCATAGGTTATTAATGACAATTTGACAGAACTGTCTAGTTGGATAAAATGAGGTGTTTTGGACAGACTGGAGCCATACAACCCCAATGCAGTAATTCTAGTCTTTAAGTTTTTAGCAACAGCTGAGCTTGTTACAGCTTCAAATATCCTCCATCATATTGTTTATCCTGCTGTCATTATTTCCACCAAAGTTTCAGATGTGCTAAACAAAATGGGCGTGCATATCAATGGAGTTATAGACATCAGGTATAAATAAGCCTTTCGTCTTTCTCTGCGTTAGAGAATGTTTGGTGTGAAACGTGTTAACTTCAGGATTGCATTTCTCTGGGTTTTACCTTGTTGTACCTTAATGTTACAACACTGACTGACTGATTTGTGTGACTCACATGATCAACGTGTTTGAGTTGGCAGCCCTGTCACTAAGATGAATTATACTGAAGTTGTGTTCATTTGTGAAGATTAGTTTAAGGAACATAACATAACGTGATGAGTATCGTAAACCTGTGTTTGCCACGGAGATATTTTCTGCAACAATCCAAAAGCCAATGGAACAATCCCATTGGCTTTTTAGTGCGATACTAACTTCCGGGTTGACCCACAAAAATGCATCATCGCGGCACCACTCGGTTGTGAAGTTACATTAAATCAGACGGAACAGTGCCATACAACTCATTTTTAGTAATAAAAAAAAAAGGGAAGCAAATCTATCTATAGTTATTATTTTTGTAAATGTAGTAATCCAAATTCAAATGTAGTCATCTCATGGGAGGCACCAAGATGGTTTGGATAATGTTGGTGTGACAAGTTATTCCTGAAAAGGCTCCAAACTAATCCTTATTTCAAAGTTGCATTTCCACAGACAGCATAGCGCTAAAAACTCTTCAATTTTGAATTGTCATGACTTTTGATACAAGGATTAACACTGTTAGCTAAACAAAGGCGTTTCCATCTGTATGTTCTGTTTAATAACCTACTATACATACATACAGGAATAGGTTGGCAAAAATCCTTGAAGGGTGTTCAAATCACTAGCTTTGACCTGAGAAAAATATGTTTCCAATATCCTGAATGACTACAATATAGCACTTTGACCGCGTGAATATCTGAGGATCAACTCACTCAATGATCCACAAGCGTAAATTATGACGTAAATTTTTAAAACAGGCACAAGTTCTTCAGCTTTGAACGTATCAATACATGATCCAAAATGCAGTCAGTATACAAAAAACAAAAAATAAAAGTTGTGAGAAGTGGTCCCTGTAAATGTCCATTAAGATGTCGTGTAGTTGGACTTTGAAGAGACTATTTGGTAAATGGTCTGTGAGGTTAAGTAGAGAAAGGTTAAATATCCTCATATTGTTTTGATACCTTTACAGAAAGAAAATGTACCATCTCTGCAGAGCTCAGAGGACAGGAGGGCAATCATAGTCCAGCAGGCGTGAGACCAACGTCTCCCTTACTTGCCAGTTTAAAGGTTACAGAGGCAATGGCTTACAAAGGTAGTCAAGAGACAGAACGGTCCAACCAATCAGCAGAAAACAGAAACAGAAATATCTTTGCCGTTGTGACGCAGTCCTCAGAGAGAGATAATGATTGATCCCTTTGATTTGAGATGATGGTCATTGGGGTTTATAGAATCAGGATGGATACTGCATAGTCAACAATCAGTGACAGGAGACCAAGTTCCCACGAGTCCAGTCAGTCTTCTCAAATTTAGCTCATGATGTCCGGACCGATGGCGATGATCTCCTGGATCTCTCGGACCACGATGATGCGGGCCAGCACGTGCTCCACTTGCTGAGTCGTGAGGGGCTGAGATGAGTACCACATCGGGCTGTTCGGTGCAACGACGGGCTCTGGAGTCATGTAGTATGCGTCATTACGTCCCTTAACGCTTTGAGGACTGGAAAAGAGCGGTTCAATAAAGAAAAGGGAGTTTAGTTTTCCCCCCCCCAATATATTTACACTGAAGAATGATCCAGTAACACAGGATTTATGTGATCGAGTCGCTCACCATTTGAAGAGATAAAAGTCATAGAGTTTAATGGGGCAGCGAAGGGGATTCTCTGGATCCTCGATCTGCTCTTCATACATGTCATCGGTTCCTGAAACAGACACAACAACAGTTCAGCATAGGCAACTTCTGTTGTCAAAAGGTTGTGACTCACAACAAGATTTACACGAGTGGCTTACTGTTTTGAGCACCTTTCTGTCCGGCGCTGTTTGGACCTTGTCCTTTGAGAAGGCGGATGCTAGTTGCTTTGTCCTTGGCGTTAGCGGGGTTCTTCTTCGTGTGTCTTAGGACCTTGGAGAAAGCTACTTTCATGTGCTGTTCAGGTGTTGTCAGGTGGAAATGCCTGTGATAAACCACACACAGCAATTACACGTCTGTGTCATTGAAGGGAAGAGATTCGGGTCATTCGGTGCCGACACGAGGTTACTCACTTAGTGTTGAAATACATTAGAGTTGTGAGCAATGTGGCTGGTGAATGTGCACCAAGCTGTTTGCACTCCCACAGCATCTCCTCTGTCACATGACTTGGGATGACATAACCTGAGATGAGAACACACAATGAGCAATTCTTTCTATAAAACAAATTAAAGAAACTATAAATGTTGAGTCTCTCCCACCTAAAGGATGGACACTGGGTTTCCAACCATCCAGGATTTTGTGTAAGCACCCACAAAAACGTGTGTAATACGGATCGGAGAAAATATCATCCACGCGTCCATTTTCAAAGAGATACTGGAAAAAATGAATAAATTGGGGTTAAATCTCAAATGAGACAGCCTTTTGGCATTATACATCGTTGAGCATTGGGATACTGACCTTTTGTATACACAAAAAAACATAATATAGAACATCGGATGTGAATTGCTCTTCGTCTGATCCTCGTGCCTCCTGCGTCATCAGAGAGAGACCCAGGTTGAGCTCAGCTACTGCGCTGGACACCAAGTCTTCCTGATAACGCAGCGGCTGACGACCTACCACGGAGAGAGGAGCGGAGGCAACATTTGCGTTAGTGCTATTAATGGAAACATGCTCAATTTTAAGCCGAATAAAAGTGATTAACAACAATATTAACAGTGAATACATTGGGAATCAAAACATACTGAAAGTTTAAGTCATTGGTGTCATTTGAAAAATGTCAAATAAGGATGCCTGTTCAAATAACTGGTAGTTGACTTACGTCCTATGGGCGCAAGCTTGGTCTTTTCCTGCTTGTTTAGCTCCGTGTTTTTTCGCTTCACCCAAAGACGCCAGACCTCCAGGCCTTCCTCCGGCTTCAGGCAGATGGGAACCATAATCTCTGTAGGCGGTTCAGCCTGACCCTCTGTCTCCATGTGGCCCTGCAGGACACCAAAGTAAAAACGTCAGTTAATGCTTTGGGGGGGGGGTGGAAAGGGCAGCAAGGAGGAAATGCACCTTTGTAATCGCATGATGATGATAATTAAGCTAGATAATTGTATGATTACGTAAAATTATTTACAGGTGATTTTTCAAGACTGGTGTAAAAATCACATGTGAGTCAAACGGACACCAGGGCTATTTCAAGGTATTGAAGTAGTTCCTGACTTTAACGATACATGTCTGCCGTGTTTTTCATCCTCATCCCAGCATATTAAATATTATAAGATTACTTATTTACAGCATCGGACATATCAGTTAATGAAAAGGTCAATTCAAACCTGCAGATGGAGCTGCTGCTCTTGTCCCTCTTCTACTTGGCTCTGCTGTTGATTTGGGTCCCATATGTGCACCGACTGTGTAGTGTTGTAAGTCCCGCCCACAGTCTGCACTGCCACAGGGATGTGAATGTTCCCGTTCATGAACTGAGCTGGGAACAGGGTCTGTACGATTTCTTCCTGTGTCCCACTGGAGGCCGACTGCACATCTGTGGACCTTGATGAGGAATTGGGGGACATTTTGTCCTTCCCGTTGGTAGTGGTGACTTGCATTGTGTTGTACGTGTCCTGTGGGATGGCAATGTGAGTTACCCCCTGCTGCTGTGGAGTGGAGTACACAGGGATGGTCCAGGTCTCACCTGTGGGACCTGTGATTGTTCCTGTTGTGCTGTACAGTTGTGCGCTGTCAACAGTGAGCAAATCTGGTCGTAGGGACACGTAGCTTTGCTGCTGCCCTTGAGGGATGGCTAGAACTGTGGCTACCTGTTGGCCCTGGTACGATACAGCCAGAGGGACATCCACCTTACGCTTCTTGGCAGGTTGGAGGACAGTTGAGACCGTGCCGGACCTCCTCTCTGCCTCCCTGGGAGAGTCCTGTTGCTGCGAATGAGACATGGCCTCTATGGTCTGAATCTGGATCTGTTGGCCATCTTGGAGTTGAATGTGTTGGCCACCTGGAAGCTGAATTTGTTGGCCACCTGGAAGCTGAATCTGCTGGCCACTCTGTAGCTGAATGTGTTGGCCACCTGGAAGCTGAATTTGCTGGCCACCCTGGAGCTGAATGTGTTGGCCACCAGGAAGCTGAATCTGCTGGCCACTCTGTAGCTGAATGTGTTGGCCTCCAGGAAGCTGAATTTGCTGGCCACCCTGGAGCTGAATCTGTTGGCCACCAGGTAGCTGAATTTGCTGGCCACCCTGTAGCTGAATTTGCTGGCCACCCTGTAGCTGAATTTGCTGGCCACCCTGTAGCTGAATATGTTGGCCACCAGGAAGCTGTATTTGTTGGCCCCCCTGGAGCTGAATTTGCTGGCCATCATGTAGTTGAATCTGCTGGCCACCCTGGAGCTGAATATGTTGGCCCGCCTCAAGTTGAATTTGCTGGCCGCCTGGCAGCTGAATATGCTGCGTTCCTTGTAACTGGATTTGCTGTCCGCTTGACAACTGGATTTGTTGTCCTCCAGCTACAGCTGCAACCAGCTGTGCCTGAATCTGTGGCACACGGATGACACAGTCAACAAGCCGGCATCACATGGATGCACTTGATATGGGTGACTGTTTGAATAAATCCTGTACCTGCTGCTGCTGCTCCTCTGTGAGCTCTCCCTGCTGGACAAAGTGGGCTGTTGAGATTCCCTGCAGGTCCTGCTGAGAGGGGGAGGCCACCTGAAGAACCTGGCCAACTGTTTGGCCTTGCTGTTCCTGAATCTGAACCTGGCACAGAGGGAGAGTTGGAAAAACAAAACAGGCCAGTCAGCAGTCAAATCAATAAATGGCTAATGGCTTAATACACTGTGAAGTTCTCTTTTCTAATGGTAAAGTGAGTATCTTCAAATTGATGACATTTCTGATGGGAATGTTGAAGCTACTCTACTACAAAAGCTATCAATAATTAGCAGGTGACACAATCTATGTGTCACAGTTTTATTGAATTTAACCAAAGAAACGGTTTGTTCTCCACAGAAAAAGTTACACAACTGTATGTTTTTGTTGTAGTGAAATTCCAAAATAGAGTGATTGTCAATTGTGGAATTTTCCATGATTGGCTTAAGCTATACATAAAAAAAAAAATGAAGGACAGAGTGACAGTCACAAGTGCAGCAGTAGCGAGAAGGCGAATGATTGATCCCACTTTAATGTGTAGCCACATACCTCCTAACAACCAGTAGGAAGCATGGAGGCTAATAACCAGAACAAAATGAAGGAATAAATTAAATGTTTTACTGAATGGATTAACGAGGCACCTTACATAAAAAGGTGAAAGTATCAGAGTTAAGAGAGCAAAGTTACTTCACTAACTTAACTTTAACTTAAAGACTCAAAACACCACACTGCCTTCTTATTTGTTTTCCTCTTGGCAGTGAGTCGTGACAGTGTTTCTGGGCCCTGCAGGACCCCATTTGTCTTGTGCCATTAAAACACAGTATGACATAATATAAGAAGTGACATTGGCATATAAACTAACCTGCACCTGAAGCTGCTGTTCAGACTCTTGATGCACAGACAGATGAGGTGAAATCTCTGCCGAGGTCACCTGTACCGGTCATAAAGCATGCACATATATGAAGTGCAGCGGATTGCACCACAGGGAAGAAAATCAGTAATATAAAAAAAAGGGACTAGGTCTTACCGGACCAGCTAGCTCTAAGAGAGAGCCAGCCACTTCCGTGCTGTCTGTGTACACACAGCTGGTATCCTGCTGCTGGTACACCATGGCAGTGGTGGTGTCGGCCCCTCCCTGCTGGCTGAACTCCTGCAGCACCTCTGGGCCCTTGGCGAGAGACTCTAGGAACTCCTTCATCCTGTGCTGAGGGACTGTGCGGGCTTTCTGCCGTACATACTCATCAAAGGAAACCACCCCACTGTCCTGCTCATTCATCCTCAATTGACCTACAAAGATGCATTTTACAACATTTGAGAATGTAATTAAACTGCTCACATTTACAATGCATTGAAAACACAGATATATAGTGAAGCATATGCAGAGGGAGACACGAAATATATAGGCATTACATAATTGGCTGTTTGTATTTAAATCTCTGCTGGTTAAATATGTGGACGTTAGTCTATCATAGTGCACGGGACAAAGTGCATGTTGGCTTGTAATACAATAACTGAGCTACGCTTCAACTTTTTCTAGTTAGGCATTACAGTCACGGATTTAGTTAAATTTTAAATTGTTATAATATCATCGACGATTCTGGTTAAATGTGTAGAGGGCACGAACAAAATAGTTGCCCGACTTTGTGTCCTGACTGTATAATAATGGTGTCAACGTTACAGCTAGTGGTTAGCACGTTAGCTTCACGATGTTAGCGAGGCACTCTTTGGACACAGCCCATATGGATAGTTTACTTGCTAGCAACTGTTAACTGTATTTAACACCACCGAAAGCCATTGTGATATCTAATCATTGTAAATTAAGCAATCAACATTAGCTGGTAGCACATTTAAACACGTTAAAGCAGCAGTCCATTCATTGCACGTAAAATAAAGCTTGCTAATCGTCGTGCTAACGTTAGCTAGCTAGCTAGCTCGATGGCTCTGGATCCTGTCATGCTACCTTAAATAAAACGAAATCCTCTCCTTTCCGCCAAGGCACGGTGTTTAAAACTAAAATCCCGATAAACGTCTAACGGCTACCGTCACCACACCGTTCACTTAACTACATAGCGCGTGTAGCGGCGGTATAATCCCGCAAACAATGCGGTGATTAGATTGCGATAAAAAAAAATGTAACAGCAGCAGCGAGCGGGCGAGGTCTGACGTCTGCTTGTTTCAGGCACGCAACGGTGGAAAAACAAGTTTCACAGCTCCAGCAAAGCACATATTTATGAATCCATTTGAACTCCGAGTGGTATTACTACAACCTACACGTTCACAGCGACACATGCGAAAACCTCCACTGTGTTTATCCCGGGAGATATAAAATGACGGAAGTTAGGCCCCAAAAATAACGCGACTCCTCTCCAGACTGCTCAGCCAGTGACGGCCTGCCGCTGTGTCCCGTTAACTAGAGTTCCCATTCTGAGAGGTGGCAACATGGCATTTAGACGAGCCATGCTGCCACAGGGTTACAGGCAAGCTGTAGGCTTGGATAATGATGCTTCATCATATTTCCTAATTTGTTTGTTAAATTAAAAATCCCCAATACAATTATTGGGTGATTTAGAGCCATAGAATATTACCTGACCTTTCACTATTATATGTTACCTTTATTGTATGGCACTTAAAAACAGAGTGGGGGATAATAGAAGAGGACATATAGAAAGCCAGATAGATAGCTAGACAGATATAGTTGGATATTAAATCTGAATGAAATCATTTATTGAGTGATTTTTCTCTAAAATGAAAACCAAATTGACACCGAGTTCTGTTGTGCATTGGCCTCACGATAATCTCTATATGCCACAATGCCTGTGAAATGACTTTGAAAGCTCAGAAAGATGCAACTAAATGGATCTTATTTTGTCAGACTACCTCCCTTATCACCATATTTTTTGACTCCGTACAACAAGACTCTGGAAACCAAGTTCCAGGTTGAGTCATTTAGAATTGACACATGAAAATATCCGTACTCCAGCAGTGTTAAAATGCTTTCCAGGGTTGTTCTGTTGATGGTAAACATTAGAATGCATGTACCTTTAACAAAATCTAACTTCCCCAGTCTGCCTTAAAGAGCCAGGCATGTGCTGCTGAGGGCCTCCCACAGTTCTCCCCACAACAAACTGCCTCTTGCCCGTCTTAAGGTGGACCAACACAGATGTACTGTGTGCATAGGCTATGTCCTCTACACACTGGATAGCGAAGAGTTAATTCCCACACTCACTGCAGACTGCAGGGGCTCTCTGGTGGAAGCGGTGGAGGGACTAATACACATATGTCCTTAATATTTTTCTCCAAAAAAAATTGCTTACAATAATAGTGAAAACATATTAACATTGATCTAAGTAGCGACTGTGACTTAGTTATTTTGCATGTTATTTTAACGTACAGCATGCATGACATCTGGCCTACTCTCCATATGTCACGAGTTTGTCCCTCGCATGTTCATACGTTTCAAGTTATTAAGCCAAAGAGTTGACATGAAACAATGCTGGAGTCTAGTTGGCTTCACATTATCACTTCATGTGACTTTGTGTTACTTAATGTAATCCTTTAGAAAAGGGATTTACCTTAACACAGCTGTGCAACGGTAGGTAAGGTCTGTGGGCCTTTTATTAATAGTCAATCATTTACACAAAATGTTTCATTTTTAAATCTACATATTTGAAAACAATGACCCCTCAGAATATGCTCATTAATGCACCCCCCCCCCAACCCAGAATTGGCCCTGGTATTTTTTCCCAGGTGACATCAGGATGGGAGACTGCCAAGTAACCAGCCGGTGCAGTAATAAAATAAGACGTCAGCTTGATGGCTGTGAGCACGATTGTGGGTTCAATCCTCACTGAGATGCTCTTTATGTACCACATCAGAAATCAGACTCCACTGCATCTAGAGGTGGAGTGCTACCCATGACACACTAGATGGAAGAAGAGCAAAAGGAATCACAGGTACATCTGACTTATCTGGTTTTATTGAGCATTTAAAAATGTATTTTGTTTAGTTTAAAGGACAGATTATTTCGGCAATGGGCTATTGTGTTTTGGTAATGTTGAATAGTTGGACAATCGTCCGCTTGTTTTAGAGGCTACCTTGCGTGTAAAGCTTTTTTAATGCTTTTGTATTTGTGCACTTTTGTAACTAGTACACTTTCTCAACACTAAGTCAGGACACAAGGCATTTCTTAAACTTGTGGTTCAACAGAAATAACGTTCACCTGAGGTTGTATTTGGGAAATCTTGTCACTTGTAAGAAATGTTTATGTCATGCTGCATATAATTGTATGATGCAGTATCATGCATCATTTCAGTCATGTATGATTTTTATTTCATGTCCTGTGTGATGTCCATATCATTGAAGTGGCAACCTGACATTTGTGACCAAAAGCTCACAGACTGATCAGACTGGTTCATGCTGTGAAGTTCCATGTTTTTGCCCAGCTGGGTCGTATTTTAGCTGAGACAAACCATCCATAGATGTTGTGGAGTGTGCAAACCCACTGGATTACACAGGAGAATGATGTTCTTTATAGGATTGAAATGCAAGATTCATTATCTGGGAATTCGTGTGACTCTTCAGCTCTTTAAAGTCTTTCTACTATCAACTAATTTGCATATACAACAGTGTACTGTAAAAATACTGCATCCCATTGATATATAATAAGGGTCTATTTTGAAGTGCAATAGTTACATTAATGTAATCTATATAATGTCAGTCTGATGTGCCTGACTGTTCATTTCTGTCTTCTTTGTTGTTCTACAGATTTGGGGATTTGGACTAAATGTGAAAAATGGGGCGTTCATCTTTGCTCTTCGTTACGCTAACCGTGTCCCTTTCGTCACTTGGGTATTTTATTCAAACTTAATCGCTGGACAACTCTGATTCAGTGCGAGTAACTCGAAGCACAGGCAGAAACACGAACGCCCCGGACATCTTGGCCAGTGAATTGATCTTCCATTCAGAGAGCAACAGTTACTCTGTGGAGGGCAGTGGACATACTGTTGACAGTACAGCATCACTCATCATGGCAAAGGAGTCTGAGCGTGCCAGCAATGAAAACCCTTCTTGGTCTGGAATCACATTAACACCAGTTCTTACTCTGCACCACTCAGGGCCTCAAGACCAAGGAGCTGACAAAGCTAATACTTTAATTACAAGACACACTCTCTCCAGTGTGCGCATGATCTCAGAACAATTGAAGGACAGTCATACGTCCATAGTAAATGCTGATTTTCTGGATGGTAAGTCAATATAATTGTGTTTACATATAATAAGATGCATTTAGTTAATTAAGATGATATGATTCCTAATCAATTTGATTTAAGTGGATATAATGATAAGGCCTTACAAAATATTGTCAGTTCTTTTTTCTTCAGTCATCAAATGTAGTATAAAAATACTCTCCATTAGCTACATAGTAAAATACACAATTAAATCAAAATATACTGTATGTTTACACATTGATTTCTCCAGCATCAAAAACACAACTTTTCCTCTTCCTCCCTCTTACCGTCTCTCATTTTCAGGTTTGGACAGCCCTGTACTCCCTGTCCAAAACAATGCAGGACCCAGAGATCCCTGTGTCCTTGCATTGTTCTCACAAACTCTAATGGCACCAGTCTGCTCTGGGATGACATGAGCCGCACACTGGCATTTGCCTGGGAACTACATGTATTTGGATATGCCAGCCTTTTCGTATTGATGGCACAGCCCTGGCTGTTATGGGACTGGCAGGTGTTCCTCACCCCCTCTGTGATGCCCTGATTTTGGCAAACACTCTCCTGATCCTGAGTGGTAGTCTGCGTGGTGTCCTCCTTCTGCTTGATCCTCATGGCACCCGTCAGATCCTCTCTTGTGCTACTCTGGCAGCACTCCATAATGTTCCTCTGCAGCTCCTTCTGTGGGCACAGATTTCCCTCGCTCTGGTCGCTCTCAGAGGGTTGAAATTGTTACTTTTCCTGCTAAAGCTGCAGCACCCATGGGTGGTTAGAGGGCTGGCTTTATCTCATTGTAGTCCATTACTTGTAGCAGACCTTTTTCTCTCCAACTTTATCCCCAGCTCTCCCTCTGTTGCTACAGACCCTCTCCCTATATGCTGGGGCCATTCAGCATGGGAATCTTCAGCAAGTCTTTCTCTCGTCTACATCCACTTCTCAGGTCTTCTGTACCTCAGTGGGTTCCTTCACAGGGGATTGAGAAGCATGCAAAGCGAGTAACAGCAGTGTGCGCTATGGGTGCAGACACCACTGATGGAAATGGTGGTACAATAACTTTACCTCCAGCTCATGTAGGCTACTGGTGGAAGTTGGATACAGAGTCTATTTCTGCATCTAAAGAGCTAAAGCAGTCACCTAGTGTTGCTAGTGATTATAATGATAGTGTTGGGTCTCCAGCTGCTGCACATCAGAAGGACAGATTTAACTCTCTCAGCAGTGATGCATCAGCATGACTGGTCTGAAGGTGATGTCACAGACCTCTGAGCTGTCGTGGACAGTAACACTCTCGCAAGACATGGTCTCATCTAAACAAAAACTGCTTTACTTGTGTTGGTCTAAAATTGACTTGATTCAAATTCATTGCCATTTGACTTTCGTTGGGTCCTCTGAAATATTTGAATGTTGATGTGTTTTATCCACAAGTGTGTTGAAATGATTCCCAGTGGATATTATGAGCATTTCACAAGAGATTTATAATGCTTGTTCTATATGCCAGTGTGTATGCAGGAGAGGCCAGTGTAACATTTCTATCATCCCAGTCAACACCTCTCTCCGGCTTGTATCCGATTAGTGTCGTAACTTCACTGATTAAAGTCATGTGAGCATTTGTTTGGCTCACCTTTGATGATATTTGAAAGCTGCATTATTTTCCTCTGCAAACAATGAATATGATTGTGTTCATTGTGTATAAAATAAAGTGATAAAAGCCTGTGCCGAAATGCTGCATTGAAACATTGAGAATTGCATTTATATTGCTCTAATGCTTGATTTGTGCTGTTTACCAACAGAAGCCTTATTATAACTCAATTTGATTTAAATGTGTTTTTTAAAAAGTAGTCTCAACTGCCTTTTTAGCCGAACTTTTTTTTAATGAAATACACTCAATTTAACTCAGAAAGACTGGGTTATTGTTCTGATCCATCTAAAGAACAACTTTTTGGTGGCTCAGTCTAATAAATCGCTTAGCTTATGTCGTAGTCTAATTGAAGTTCGGGTTGCTCGCACCAGACTGATTAGCAAAAACATGCCATATGTACTCATGCCTTGGAGAAATCATATGTTGTACTTTGTGGTCACGGTGACTCTAACTTCCGTACAACATAATTACAGACAAGCTGTTGATAAAGAAGCTGTTATTGTGCAAAGGCCTCCGTTTGTAGGCTTTGATTAAATATTTGTAACATGCAAACTGCCACATTCATCTCTGAATGCTAAGAAATGAACATTTGTGCTTCATTGGCTTAAACCGAACATGGAAAATATGAACTGCTTCTTGCCTGTTAGCAATAAAAGCTATTGCGACTCTGTGAATACCAAGACTTAGGTTATCTGATTTAACATGTGCAAAGAAACTAAAAACAATAGTAAGCTGCCTTGTCTTTAAGGACGATGTGCCGTTTTTGAAGACTAGTGGAGCTGTAGAGGAACGTGTCAATGATTATTCGGATGTATCTTGGATGTCGGATGTATCATGTCACTAACTCGTAGCGTGCATATGTGTCCTTGTATCGAGACTTGTCAAAATATTGAGACAACTGTTCAAAAACGCCTCCAGATCCTTCATTAAACATGAGTCATGAATCAGTTCTGAATGAGCTATGTCACAGTTTATTATGGCTGTCTGGTGTGTTTGGATTTCTCAATCATCAAACTGAATTTGTGCCTTTTTTCAGTGTTGCACGATTGGATGATTGCAAAACTGAAGCACATGGATCCATCGGTGCAATGTCGTGACAACTTGATGACTCTGAAGGGTCAGAGCTCCTCACTTTCTTGTGGATAGTGGGTCGTTTTATAAATACAAGGAGTTTGGTATTTTGTCCAATACACAATAAACTGTTAAAACTTTTTTTTGTAATGTCAAACAGATGAAGGACCTCTTAATCCTTTGTCTCAAATGCCCGTTGGCTTCTCTGTGAAGAGGTCCCGCAGAGATATGGCTTTGCTGCCCCTTACCAGGGCTGCCATGTCACCCAGCAGGTAAGGCTAATTTCCTATGTCAATATTCACAATATCTCATGGATCTATGAAACAGTTAGAAAGAAACACGGCTGAAGTCAAACTGCATGTTGATATTTCCCCAAAACATAATATTCCTAAAGCCCTTTTCCAACTTTGTCTTTGGCTAATCTTCATAACTCTGTAAATAAATTTCAATGTTTGATCAACTTTTTGACTGATGGAACTTCTTAGATTTGATTGAGCCTGTTTGTCCCTCCACACTGCAGGGTAGTGATTATATACTATACTGCTGCGTTTATGGGGGGGCACCATTGACAGTGTCTTGCCATGCTGTGTTACCACCTCCTTGTTTACGGCTTCCTCTCTGGGATGGTGGTGAAATTTGGTGTTAAGTTAAGGGTCAGTGACTTAACATATTGGCATTTTATTAGCTTCAAAAAACTGCTTTAGAATCATTTTCTCATCCGTTATTAAAACTGTTGCCGTGTCTGACAAGTGGAAGTCTCCTTTATCGGTCTGTAGCAGTTGCGGATTTGCTCTCTGGAGGACTGACCCTCATTGCACCCTACAATAGGCTTGTGCAGAAAGATCAAGGTAGGGTGGGCCCTCTTGTGGTTAAAAAGAGAAGCTGATATGTACACATGCTTTTGATTCGCTCAGTTTGTTTCCTTGCAGGATGACAAGTATTTACTCTCTCTTCTGTTGGCGGATGTTGAGCTCTCAGTCTCATGCCTTTCATTACTGGACATTGAGCCTATAACAACTATGCGTCGATACTAGGTCCAGCAGTATCCTAAACAGTTTCTTCAGAATCAGAATCAGATACACATAATTTAGCTTGGTATTGGTGCATAACAATAAACACAGTGCAATAGTATAAGACATAATTAAAAAAATAGAAGATAGGAAAATTTACAATAAAATATGGTAAACAAACAAATAAGAGATATGTTATTAAAGCGTCAAGTAAGAGAAAAAAAGATGTGCAGGGGTGTGTAACTGTAAGAAATTGTCCTAGGGATGTAAGTGTCAGAGTCAATGGGGGTCCCGGCTTTATTGATGAGCCAGTACCCCCAGTTCCCAATGTTTTTCTCAACACCCGGTGTTTCCCGGGCCCACTCACACAATCCTGCCCTTACCACAGGTAGAGTGGCGCAGTTGCCACAACATCCACAGCTTCCCTCGGGTAATGCTACAGACTCCCAACACTGAAAACCAAGAGGCACCTGCAGCTCAGCACCCCGCATTCCCATCTTTGCCACAGTATCCATAGTTCTCTCATCACCATCTGTTTCCCAGCCCACAATCTACTGCTAATAAAAACACTGCTGCTCCCCCGGCCCAACTACCTCAGATGCCGGGGTATCCATGAACTTTTTTCCCACAATTTCCCATGGTACCTGGAATTTTCCATCCAACAACTCCTCCTCCTCCTCCTCCTCCTTCTCCTCCTGCCACCAGCACAAAGGCTTTGTTAACCACACCGGCCTCCACCACTAAGCATGATGGGAAGCCTTATGTTCCCCAGCAGCCACAGTTTCCGATGCCCCCTCAATATCCTTTCTTGCCATTCTCACAACACCTGCAGCCTCCACAAGGTCAACCTCAAGCTCTTTGGGCCATAATCCAGCAGCCCAAACCATATCATGGTTATCCGCAGACCTACCACATCCCTGTGTTATATCCTCCTAAGTATGCCTCTCATAGACATAAAACTCCCGTCACCACATCAACCAGCGCAGCTACCACTCTAAAGCCTACGGCTCAAATGCCTCTTTATTACCCACACCCTTATATGCCAGCACACTATGTTCCTCAGTAGACTCCCATTCCAGTATTTGCTGATCATCTTGCACACCCAGCTCCATCTGAACAGCATCAACGTCTGTGTGTACCGTGCCATGCCTTCATTTCATCTTTTCCTTTCTCATCAAAGGCCAAAATCGTCTGCAAGAAACCGGTAAAAGTTCTGCTGACGGTCTCCAGGAGCTTCACAGACTCTCCTTTGTGCATTTTGGTTAACCTTTTTTAACGTTTCTTGCTTTGCATATAGTAAGAGGAATTTAAAACTTACATTTTTCTGAAGAAGAATAAAGGGCAAAGTAAGCTGCACAGTTACTGTTTTTTTGTTGAATGTTTAAAAAACAAAAAACAGTTTGATGGGTAAAGATGTCCAGGGCCGTAGCTGGACTCTAGAAACACTGAGTTCATGTCTACCCTAGTCCATTTTTTCTTCTTCATATGATTATTAATATATTATTTATTCTGGTATGTCATATTTTCAGTAAATTGTATTTCTCCGCTTGAAGAATGTTTCTAGGGCAACAACTAACACCTGTTTTCATTACTGATTAATCTGCCTATTGTTTTCTTGATTAATTATTTGGTCTGCATAAAATGTCATAAAATGTAGACAAATTATGAATCACAGTTTCCCAGAACCTACGGTCACGTCTTCGAATTTGAGTTTCATCCGACCAAGACGTCATGTTTACTATTATGTCCAAGAAAACTAGCAAATCTGAAAATGTGCGTGGCTGAAAGCAATGACTTCTGTAATATTTGCTTTAAATAAATGAAATTATCGAAATAGTTGCTGACTATTTGATTTATCGACAAATAGTCATAATTTTTACTCCACATACTTCAAAGCCTTCTCAGCATTGCCTGGAATAACACTGTGGTGGGCAAAAAAAGCTTACAGACAATTCCTTCTTGCCCTAAGAACCGTCAAAAAGTATTTATATTGAGTCTGATAACGGTTGAATTAGTACAATAAGAAACAAATGACCGAGGACATGACCAGAGTGTCCTCAAAAGTAGCTCCACCCAAATCTCTAACAATAATAATAAATGTATATCATTGCAATTTAACTGGATCACCTGCATGGATCATATGGGATGGTCGTCTGGCGCTCAGCTGTTCTGACGTCGAGCACGCTGTCTGACGTCACCGTGGGAGTGTTCCACCATCGGGAGAAATGAACGGTCATCAACACAATCCTCTCAGCGCCCATGTAAGTTGAAGCCAGCAAAACACACATTTTGCGCACCGTTCTATGAATGAAATGTGTTTCCATACGCTGTTATCCGATGTGCCCGAGGGCTCCGGTTGATTAGCCTCGTTTATCCAATTGTCGCCGCCCGCCTGGCGAGGTGCCCTGTTCGCCTGTAGCTAACCATGGCCGAAGTGATGTTTCCTAGCTAGGGAGAGTCTAGCCAGGCTGCTAACTGACAGGCTGAGTGGCCAAGGCGGCGAGTAAGCGCCTGTTTTACCACCCAGGGTAGTCTGGACGGGCGATGTTGCAGGTAGTTCACATGTGAGCGAAAAAGCAAATGAATGCGTGTGCTTTTTAAAGGTTTAACTTCGGAGACAACACTCAGGGCCGGGATTCAATTACATCACAACGGTCAGACTAGAACATGTACAATTAAATTGAACTACTTTTAGTTGACTGAACCATTTTTGTCCTCAGTTAAACTCCGGCTTATGTTACCAATACAAAGAGGGAGGTCGAAGCTAATGCAGACTTGGTGTGTTTGGAGCCTTTCACACCTGCGAGGACAGGCGTCTTCTGCATTTCTATAAAACGGAGTTACATAATTCCATATGTGGAGAAGAGCTGATAATGTCTCATTTTGTCTTTGTTAATAATGTGACAGTTGGTACTTTCTTGCAAGATTCAATTTTAGATACAAGAGTTTGATGGTCAAATAGATAAGAGGGGCTATCTATCACTAAACAGTGATGGCACCTGTGGTTATGTGATGACTGTACAACAACCAACATCCTGATGCAGGAGTGTGTTTTAAGTTATTTGAACAGGTAAAGCAGTCATCTACTGGATTGTCCTGGGAAGTGTGTGGTTCACATTACATGATGGTCACCATCTGATATTTAAATCAGTGATGTTGGCCGTTGAAGTGTAATGTAAAAGATTGTTTACGTAGTCTGTCCTCTGTTACCTAGTCTAAAAACATACATAATGTGTAAAAACATGCTCTAGCATTTATGTTATCCACCTTGTTATACATCAATTTGAAGAAAAATAGAAATACTCCAAAACTGCAGACATAATTTAAAGGTTAGACACAATAAGTTAGACAGGTGTCATGCTAAATATGCAGTAAACCTAACCTAATACATAACACCGTGACCCCGCCCCGCACAGCAGCACCGGTGTGCAGTGTAAAGTAAAACGAACACCTCCCGGTGCACCACGTTAGCTTGTACTGCTAGCTACCAGAGGGGCAGACAAGCCATCAAAACGGGGTCAACGATTCATCAGGACTTCATCTACCACAGCGGTCAGCACCACCCTCCAACTACACGATTAACTACATGGACGTTTTCAGCTCTTACGTGCTACATTTGAATGTTTTTAACGGCCAAGGCCTACGAAACGTTGGCTAGGGAGCTGCTAATTTCATCCTCTTCTTATCTTTAGCTAACGTTAAACCGTTGGGCTCAAGACTATTTTCAGTAACTTATTAACGTTAACTCAAAAACAACGCCCCGGTGCTCGTGAACGAGATTCATTTGATCACACCATCTGCTTTTAAATTGGTGAGCATCCGGGTGGCACGTTACTACAGTTACCCTCCATGTAATGACACCAATGCACCTGTAACCTCGGGAGTAATTTAATTAAATAACCTGAGCTGCGTGGTGACAGTACGCGCCCTAACCTTAGCGTGTTTAATGACAGCGCGTGTTTAACTAGCTGGAAAAACTAAATGGTCTAAAGAAAGGGAAACTGTATTGTTCCTACTGATTTGGGTGGCGATGATCTCATCGGAATGCACGTATGACCGTCTATCCGCGTGTTTACTCGGAGAGATAACGTCATGATGTATTGTTGTTGAGTCATCGCTGAATCACTTTATCTCAGTTGTGTGGTTCATTTCCTGCACATAATCCCATGGGGCTATTCGGCACCATTAATTAACATTACACAGTTAATTAAGATACAACGCCTCGGAGGCCTGTGCTGTACAAAGCTGAATATGAGTTCTTCTTCTGCTATTTTAAACCACAGTCTTGGATGAGCTTGTTGTAAAAATGGCTGAACTAGTTTGTTTGTGTTGAGTAATCACTTCTATTCAAATGATATTACCCTCAAATGGCTGTTTCATAATAACATGATAATAATAATGATGAAAATAATACTTATATTAATAATAACAACAGTAATATCTGGGTTTTATCCTCCAATGTTCTACTTTGTACACCAGCTAATGCTGCTGAAATCTGCTGACATGCTGGTTATATTTCCTCAAAATATCAAGGTGGCTGGAGGTTTTTGAGCCAGTTGTTTTCCACCGACTGCAACACTTCTCCTCTGATCCAGGAGCTGGTTGGTTTAGATGTTGCATAATTTATATAAACTTTTCATTTTTTGTTTACTTGTCAGATTTTGCACTGTGAAAGTTTTGTTGTCGTAACAGAATAATTGTTGTGTGGTGACTGTTATCAGTCAATCTCAGACTGCATATAATCTAGTTCTGGTCTACAATATATATTGAATCCTCTTGGTATCATGAAGCCAAACAAAATCATTGGTAACAAGTGGGATGTGAGGATTATTAAAATAGCATCTTACGTGTAGATCTGATGGTGTAAATATCTGACAGTTCAATCCAAACTTGTCAGTTCTTTCTAATTAGTTTGAGGGGAACAAATAACTGAGTAATACTGAAGTGAAACCATATTCATGGTGATCACAGATAGCTTATAGAGCATGTCAATAGGCTACTCTGTCATGCAGAAGAACGTCATTAATACAGCAATTATTGGAGACGGATCAACCGGTATACCGCCCAGCACTGCTTCATAGAAAACCGTTTCTCACCTTGTCTTGCCTCTGTTTTTTTGTTTGTCTTTGCAGCATGTGATTTTTCTAAATGTCCATGGAAACAGCTGACTAAAGTTTGACAGCTATCCCACCAGTTTTCCATTTGTAAGAATTACTCAGAGGAAGCAGTGCTGGAAATTCACTTGGATTAAACCATTTCCTGTGTTAATAGATCCACAAATCATCTGCTGATGACCACATCTGAAGGTATGTGTCTCTGTACTTGTGTCTCTATTGTATTTAAAGCTTTTTGTTTTTATAGATCTTTGCTGAACAATAGTATGAATCACTATGTGTATAAATATATACATATATGTGTGTGTGTAATAATAATTGTAGTTTTACCTGCTACAAGTAGACACTATTACAGTTTACAAGGTCCTCTGACTAAATGTGACGAGAAGAATAGAAAGACAATGCAAACGAGCTGCTGAATGTGCACCATTTCCAGTATTACATCTCAACATGAATACATTGTTGTGTTTTGGGAACACAGTCTGAAACTAATGAATGCTAATCCTCAGTAATATGTGCAAATGTCTGAATATTGTAATAAAGCATGTGAGCCTATGCCGATGTAGCAATGACCCAAGAGGACACCCTGCATCCAGACTCAAACATGTAATCTGCTGTCATTTTGTAGGAATGTTTATTCAACACGAGGAAAAGCTTAGATGCTGCGAGCCATGCACAGCACTCTGTAGATGGTGTGACCTTGGAGCACAGCCTGTACAGAGAGTGATAGGCCAATGTTGGTTGACCCACTTTGAAAAGAAATCTTTGCCCTTAGCTCTAGAGGAGTCCGACGTCGTGGTGTTTTCACCGTAGATGAGGGATAAAGGTCCATGTCTGCGTGTTCCTCTGTCTTGTTCTGAGGTTCCTCTGCAGTGCGTTCCACTGAGTTACTGAATGGCCGTGTCTCTGTCTATAATCAGTGATTCAGGATCAGGAAATGAGTGACTGTTTTAGAAGCTGCGTTAAATCAGTTGTTTGTATAAGTGCATAGTCTATATATGATAATTGTTAGCCTTAACATTATGACATGTAGCTCCAAGTGCAGGTACAATGTGCTCTTATATTTGTCATCTGTGAGTTTTAAACTAGCAGCCATGGAACCCTGCATACACACAAACACACATACCTGAGTGTAGACAGCTCTGGTTTAAGACAATGTCTTATATAACTTCATTATGGTTGACTTATGTTTGAGGGATTGTAGTTTAGAGTTACTTAAAGTATCGTCCTTGTAGAGGGAGGGATGTGAATCTGTTGATGGATTCACTTGTTTTGAGCAATGAGTGAGATGAGGGACGGCAGTAAGTGAAAAGTAATAGTTTTAAAAATAAAAGCATGTATTCAACATGTTGATCAGCAAGACTTGGTTACTCTTGTCGTTATTGTACTACACTACCACCTACCCTTTAACAAAGTGCTTTCTTACACGGCAGAGCTAACAGCAGGCCCAGCTGTAGTGAGTCACTGCGCTCCACTAATGGAGCCTTTCAGAGGGTTTTTGGTGCTAGATTGTGCTGCTGGCTTGTTAAGTGATACTTAGTGCTGACTCGTGGAATCGTTTTTCCATTTGTTTGCAAAATAATCCGTGTACTGTAGTCAGACCCGTCCCTTTAGGCTTTTGGATATTTGCTTTTTAGAGAAACATGCTTTTTCTCACCATGTCCTGTAAACCAGCCTGGTGCTCGAAGACTGAAGGAAGGTACATCTCAAACTTACTGTTGATATTGTAGAAATTAATTGTATTCTGGGCTTTACGAGAAACCCAGGTGTTGTAACTGTTGGTAATGGGTGCTATTCAGGTTTTATTTAACGATGTATGTTTCTGGCTTTAGAAATTTAGAAAATTAGATATTTGTATTTAAGGATAGCGTGCACATTAGTTAAATAATCTTGTACATTTTTACCAGTTACTACTAAATTGAAGCTTTGTTTTTATCTCTGTGTATTTCTTTGTTATGCTACAGTATGCTTCTTTTTTAACCGTATCGTTTTCTGTTTTTGTTTCTATTTCTGTTCATTTAGCCAATCCCGAGTTGTGAGTCAGTAGAGGAGAAGCCGGGCGGATGGTAAGCTTTCTGTCACTCTCTATCTCACCTCCTCTCTTGCTTTCTGTCTCACTGTCTCATTACATGTTGGTAAACCAAAATGCTTTTATATAATCTGTCATCTGAGGGCCAAATTCTCGGAAAGGTCCTTTACATTACAGGATGTAAGCCTTGTTATACAATGAGAGGCAAAGAGGAGGCCGCCGTGGATCGTTGAACACCTTAATCAGTTGAGAATTGGATAATAATCCCTGTCCGTTTAGAATTTCATTTACATTTTTCACACTGTAGTCTCTTTGTTAGCGTCATCAAAGCACTCTCAATTATGTTTATTATTAATTTCCGTTATGAATACTTTCTGAAATGTGATTAGTCAACTAAAGTCGGGTTTCAATACCCAGAAAAAAACAATAGAAAGTGAGTTCAGAAACAGCCTCAGGCATTGACCTTCAACATGTGCAATATACCAAACGTTGACATTTCAGAAACTGTTCTCAAAGTTTGTTTATTTTGTAGACTTTGTGTTTTTGCATTACTGGGTTGGCGCCGTCAGACATGCCACATGCTGTTAGGCTCAAATGGATACCTACTGTTTTCATTCAGCAGAGAGAAAATATACTTTTTCGATCATGAATATTTTGCAAAAAGTGGTCATGTCTGGTTCAACCCAGTTTATGTTGCTGGATGTTTTATATTCTGCTTCTTATTATGTTCACCACTCACTTCTGCATGTCGTAATCCGTTTTATTTTCCTTTTGTGGTAGACAAGCATGACATTGAGCCAAGCCACAGATTCATGTCCACTCAAAAGGCCCAACTGAGCGCCATCCCCTCTGCTTCCCGGCTCGCAACAAGTCGCTCAGAGGGGGGGTGTCGACGGGACGTAGCTAGTCCCCTGCACCCCCAAGTAGAACCTCACTGTGAAACTGGAGGTCGCTGATGGATCAGGGTTGTAGTGAGCAGAGTCCAGAGGAGCCGGACACGGGAGGCCGAGCGGAGCTGGAGGGCGGCAGGAGGGCGTCGGAGTCAGAGCATGGCTTGTCCAAAATCACCCATAATGCCCTGGAGAACATGGGAGCGTTGGGCCATGGCCTGAAGCAGTTCTTCCAGCCACAGCGCCGACGCTCCTCCGTTTCCCCACATGACTCTGTCTCGTCCTGCACAGGCGCCCCTCCCTCCGAACCCACTGATGTAGGGTCAGAAGTAGGGGACGCTCCGGCCTCCTCGGCCCTCCCTTTGGATTCTGACAACCCTGCTGCTTCCGCCCCTCCCGCAGCTCTGAACCGTGTTCTGCAGCAGATCCGAGGTGCTCCACCAATGAAGCGTGGCACCAGCCTGCAGAGCCGCCGCAGCAAGGTGGGGGGCACCGGGGAGCCTCCCCAGAAAGGTAGCCCGCAGATCCACCGGCGCAGCACCCATGAAGCCCTGCTGCAGGCTGGACGCCCACGTTCGTCCTCGACCACAGATACGCCCAGCAGCCCGGCTCTAGCTGACGTTCTGCTGACGTCTGGTTACCACTCAACTGAGGAGCCTGACAAGGTGAGTGTCTCAGTTCTGCTCCGTGGTCCAGGTGAGAAATAAACCACGGACATCCAACAGTACATTCTTTACAGAGTAGGAAGACATTCCAGTGTTTATACAAGGTTTGTGATATAGGTTACATAGGCAGTTGCCTAGAGTGGCAGTGTGTGGGTGCGCATGGAGAAGGAGAAAATAAAAATCGACTGGCTCTCCTTGTGTGAGTCATAATTCACTCAAATCTGAACACGGAGACATGAAATGCACTTCTGGAATCAGCGTGACTTACACTTTACAGGGAGGGAGATCTCCAATGTCCGTCACAGAGAAATGCTCATAAATTCTCTTAGAAATCATAGAAAACGAGCTGCTTCATGTAACTACAGAACGTCTCTCGTATTCATCACGTTTAGCAGTTTTCTTCAGTATAAAAAGTAATCTAGTAATTGTTTGACTACTGAGGACTCAGGAACTGCTAATAGCTAATGCAGTATCACTTTCCAAAATGCTAATTTGCCAAGTTGTAAATAAATAATAGGCAAAAACGGTGTCGCCAACAGTTAACTCACGGATTTTTTCAGTGTGATTTAATTAATTCCTAATTATATATATTTCTTTTTTTAAATATCTGTCCTTGTACATGCACAGTACAACTCACATAACACATGGCCTTATTTTACTGAACTTAATCCTGAAATTGTTGTATTCATAGAAAAATTAGCTTCAGGACATAAAACATTCAAATATAAATCGTAATACAAAGAGACACTGTGCATTCATGCAATGCATGGTTTGCAACCTAGCTGTAAAAATAGAAGATAAAACCGAGTCATGCACTAATATCTGTGCAAGAATATCAAAACGAAGTGAACTGTGCAAACGTGTTAAAGGCTGTTAATGGTTGAGATGTGCCTGGATGAACTGGTGAATGGGGAGATGCAGCGATGGCCTTTGAGCAGTTGGTGACTATGTGCTTTAAGCCGTTCTAAATTTAGACTCTTGCTGTCTCTGAGTGTACTTGAGGTCAGAGACGGCTTGCAGGAATAAACAAACTCAAACTTGTAGGATGTTTTCTTTTCACATTGAATCGTGATAGAAATCTGGAAACAACACCTTCAGTGTTATAACCGCTGACACTGTAAAAGGGTGTAAAAAAAAAAGAACAATAATTTATAAAACCTGACACAGTAATTACAGCAGATGATAAAGTATTTTGAACTCCAGTGTGACAGGAGAATCTCTGGAATGACAAATCGGGAGAACGTAGACGTCGTAAAGCGACGAGGGGTAATGCCGCACTGTTCTGGCAACTCACTGGAAGCTGGAATTAAGTTTATTAACAGATGTCATAAGCTTCACCCCCCTGTGTTACCATTTATCTTAGGAAACATATGACCTGTTATTTGTAATCGATAATCATCAACTGAGGTTGATTTATCCTCCGTGGAAACAAGTTGTCTTTTTGTTGCCAAGGGCAGATTCAAAAGTCATTATCCAAGAACCTTTTCCTACTTCATATTTTTTTGTATTAGTGCTAGATACCTACAGTTTAAGTATAAAATGTATGGAATCAAATGGGTAATTTATTGTTAAATGCTGGCGTGTAAACCAACACCTCTGTTAAGTTATTCATTGGCAGCTCTTTCTAATCGCCTCCGTCAATGTGAATTTTAAATGCATCTTCCTGTACTGTACATTCTCAGATAAACACGATGCTTTATTCTATCTTTATGGTTTACACTTAAACTGGAAATACTTTGGAGTAGTTCTTCAGAGTACAAGGGGCTCAACAGCTGGTCCGTTTCCAATAGGGGCTCTTATGATGGGACCAATTCAGTTTGTGCTCTCCTTCTGTCGCCTCAGTTTGAGCCTCAAGGCTCTGATGTCTGTTTATGGCTTCACATCATTTGCACTGGGCTTTTTATCTAAATGACCCCTCATATCAGCCCTCTTGTCTTATTGTTGAGCTTTTGTTGCCCACAATAGTCACTGCATCTCTCCACCTGTGACTCCTTGAAGTGGAGTTGTGAAGTGACAGCCAAAAGGCATCTTTTGTTCTTCTAGTGCCATCTGCTGTTGTGAAGAGTGAATGTGTAGTGACAAGTGTATGTAGGTTTTCAAATGTTAGTAAAAAACACACTGCGGCACTGTGTTTTAAACCGATTTTAATCAGTGTTCACGTTAGATACTGTAACAGTTCTCATTAGGCACAACTTGAAACACTAGAGCACTAGACCGGGTCATAAACACCAAAGTATTGACAGCAATACATCACCCAGTGCTCGCACAATAATGCATGACAAAGTTCTATCTTGACAAACAGTGATTTTAATGTTTTGTCTTGATAAACTTTAAATGATGAAAATTATTTCTTTATAATTTCCCCTTCTCTTCTGTTCACAGCTGGACCGCTATGATGGATCAGGCCCTGCTGTGTCACCCAGTGCTCTCCCCTACGGTGCAGATGGGTATGATGTAGTGGACAGTACCCCGGACCCCCAGCGAACTAAGCAGGCCATTGCCCAACTACAACAGAAGATCCTCAAACTCACGGAACAAATCAAAATTGAACAAACTGCACGCGATGACAACGTGGCTGAATACCTGAAACTCGCCAATAATGCGGACAAACAGCAGAGCGCTCGCATCAAACAGGTGTTCGAGAAGAAGAACCAAAAGTCGGCTCAGACTATCCAGCAACTGCAGAGGAAGCTGGAGCACTACCACCGGAAGCTTCGAGAGGTGGAGCACAACGGCATCCCTCGCCAGTCCAAAGATGTTTTCCGAGACATGCACCAGGGGCTGAAAGATGTTGGAGCCAAGGTGTGTGCTTCCCGGGGGCCTTCTTTGTTTTTTTTTTTGTTGCCAAAACTCACTCTCAGGAATATTTAGGAGGTGTTATTGACAAAAACACTACATTACTAATAACCTTTTTCTCCAATAAAGTGTCCCGTATTTCATCTAAATTTGTTGATTGAGTAAAAGTAAAGGGGTCAAGAGAGCAGACAGCTTGTTTGAGAATAGACTGTTATAACATGAATAATGGCTGCTTTCCATTTAGTGTGTGCCAGTATGGCGCATGCTTTACTGGCACATGTAAGTGAAACAGTTTATAGTAGTCTTGAATAAGGTGGCTTCTCTCACTTGAAAGCAGAAATCTGAATTAGTTCCTCAGTTGTTCCAGTTAAACGGTCCGTTTGCCCAGATACGACAGAAACGTGTCTACTTGCCGATAATGGTCAATAGTCATGAAGAGACTTTTGTCCATGCAGAAAACAAACAGGAATGTGGAGTTATTGTTGTGCCTTAAACTACACAAACACAAAAGTAATGGGTGGAAAATGTTCATTATTGCAAGAAGTAAACCTGGTTAGCCCAAAGTGCAGAATTCGTCTTTAGCTCCAGTGAGCTGGTCAGAGCAGCTGACCAGCTCATGCTGTTCCTTTGTGTTTAAGGCTATTTAATGACAACTGCTAAAGCTGTCAGGCTCTGTGATCAATACGTTAGTGATCAGTTTGACCGCGGTTAAACTAGCTTTCATATTGTTAACTCGACGCAGCCTGACCACTTACCTGAAATCACTCATTACAGGTGACGGGGGGCCTCTCCAGCTTCTCTCATGCCACTCATTCTGCAGCTGGAGCTGTGGTGTCCAAGCCGAGAGAAATCGCCTCCCTCATCCGCAACAAGTTTGGCAGTGCTGATAACATTGCAGCTTTGAAGGATTCCTTGGATGAAACCCAGGGAGACGAGGGTGTTGGCCCCGGAGGGACGAGGACCCTTGGGACCGGACAGTTGCAGTCCAGCCCAAAGTATGGCAGTGACGAGGACTGTTCGAGCGCTACTTCCGGCTCTGCAGGAGCCAACAGCACGACCGGAGCCCCCGGAGGCCCCCCAAGCTCCAAGGGCAACACCCTCGATCATGGCCAAGCCTCAGGCTTTGATGCCATACTCCATGAGATCCAAGAGCTGCGGGAAAACCAAGGTCGACTGGAGGAGTCCTTTGAAAACCTAAAGGCCCACTACCAGCGCGACTACACGATGATCATGGAGACCTTGCAAGAAGAACGATACAGGTGTCACATCATATCCTATACACTAATAGCTCCGTACGGGTAGAAGGAAATCGTCCCGTTTGTGATGTACTGCTGTTGTCACTGTTTTGCAGGTGTGAACGTTTAGAAGAACAACTCAATGACTTGACAGAACTGCACCAAAATGAAATTCTGAACTTGAAACAGGAACTAGCCAGCATGGAGGAGAAGATCGCTTACCAGTCTTACGAAAGAGCGAGGGACATTCAGGTGAGCTTGACTGAAATGAACATGTTTCTACTTTGTCGTCAGAGCTATTTCCCTGACAGTGCTGTCTCTACCCTGTAGGAGGCGCTGGAGGCGTGTCAGACGCGTATCTCCAAGATGGAGCTGCAGCAGCAGCAGCAGCAGGTGGTGCAGCTCGAGGGTTTGGAGAACGCCACAGCACGGACTCTCCTGGGAAAACTAATCAATGTGCTGCTGGCTGTCATGGCCGTCCTTTTGGTGTTTGTGTCCACAGTGGCTAACTGTGTCGTCCCATTAATGAAAACACGCAGCCGCACGCTTTCTACGCTGCTCCTTGTAATCCTCCTCGCCGTCCTCTGGAGGCACTGGGATGCCATTTCAGAGTATCTGCATCACTTTCTTCTGCACCCCAGATGACCAGCTTGGAGAGGCTTAGTTAAATAATGACGGGACGGAGGATTTGGGGCTGATGTGTAAAGGGAGGACACTGACCCATACAGGGAGTTGGAACTCAATTGTCCTTCCTTTTCTGCCTCTTCAGCAGCTTCTCTGAACACTCGGCAGGGTTGCATCAGAGGTTTGTCACTTTATCTCTTCCTGAAAGGTGTTTTGAGAAGAACACAACAGAGAATAAGGGGAGAAAAGGTTGGATGTTTGGTATTGACTTGCTATCTTTGGTGCAGTTGGCACAAGCACATACTGTTAAGGGTGAATGGGCATCGTAGTGAAGGAGGGGCTGAGAGAACTGCACACTTGATTTCTCTCTTCTGAGTGAATTTGTTTACATGTGGAAAACGTTGCATTGTTTTCCCACAGAAGAAATTGTAATTCAGAGTTTTATTACTTTCAAGCTAATTCAAGTGGTATTGTTTTGAAGTCACCGCTATTTTTAATACAGCTAATTGATTTTATTTACTTTTAACTGTAATGAACTGACAGTGCTCTGCTGATTTAGTTGTCCATATTCTCTTTTTTTGTACGTTCTCTCTCTTCTAGTCTTGCCACTCTGGTTTTTTCAGTCTGCTCTTTTTGTTCCCCTTTACTCAGTCTTTTAACATGTCAGCCTCTGTGACCAACTCTTCCTCTTCCTGCTCACTACACTCTGAAGACTTGGGGTGCTTGCACATCAGCTACTTTGCTCTGGAACTAGACTTGTCACTGGAATCAAATAGAAGTGGGTTCTTGACTTGTTTCGTATGGATGTGTGAAGTCAATAACACTGGTTCTGCCTCAACCAGGATATTGCTCTGAAGAACTTTTAAGTTTGGAGTTGCAACCCCGCCCTCTGGGCCAACTGGCTCCTGCTGTCCTGGTGGCGTTTCCACTGCAGAAGAATAATTAATGAACTGAATTAACATACTTGAAGAGCGATTAAAGTGCTCAAAGACTCAGTGCTTCCGTACTGTTTCTCTTAGTGACAATGAAATAGTAATACTTTTTAGTTGATTTTTTTATTTTTTAAAGACAAATAAATTTGCTGTTTTAAAATGTGAAATTGAAAGTAACTTGTATTTGTCTCTGTCATGAAGTTGCTAAATTGTAAATGACACAACAAAACATCTCGTGTTGGGGTCACTTTGGTTCACTTGTTGGCCAGATGTTTGGAATACACTGTATTTAAGAGTGGTCGTGTTCTTACAGGTGTTATGAACACCGTTACCAGTGTGAAGCCGGTGACTACTTATTCCTCCAAAATCTTGGAAATGTTAACGTAATTGGACTTATTAAGGCCACGAGAGTAACGCAGGCATGACGTGTAGAAGGTTTTGACGTAGCAGTTGATACATTATCCTCCAGATGTGCTATTTTTTGCTGTCGTACTTGTTGCGAATGTGAAAAAACCCAGTACTCAAAATGTGACATGTTAACACTAAAATTTAGTATACCACTCATTCCTCAACATTTTGAAGTGCATTTGGCGTCAGCAAAGGAGACCATTAAGATACCTTTCATAGCAAATGAGAATTGAGCTATCCATGTGTTATTCACCTGTGCGTTTCACTCCCATGACATGTCGAGATGTGTGCTGCCAACAAGGTATATTCGTGCATTTGAGCGTGTGCAGAAGAATATGCTGTTTTTCCAACAGGTGCAACAAAGCCGACATCAAGGGAGTCCGAGTCAGGGAGAGGTCAGTCAAGTAACTTTGTAGTTTGTAGCCCAGACGGTCCTGAAAAGAGGTCTGATCAGGCACAATAATTAAGAAACAACTCTTATCAAGTGTGATAGCCGTGAAAACTAGTGGTTCTTAAACTCAATTTGTTTCAGAGGAAAACTCAATCTATTCAATAGTTTTAACATAACTCGCTTTCTACGCATATAACATGAAAGCCTGTTGGCGGTCGGTGGAACGTTAGTTTAGCAAACTATCAGTAACGTCAGCTAAACTGAAGAAGCATCAAGTTCCTGTTTAACATTACATCAATTATAACGGTTACAAACTGAATGACGAGCATGTTCAGAACAGTGATATGATTGTTTACTGAGTCAAACCATTAATGCTAAATGCTTTTAATTACTAATGCCAAGTGAAAACATCTGGAACCAAAGCGGCCAAACTAGCTGTGTCGGGATTGGTACCCGAAAGGTCGGAAGTCACTGAAATAGACTTGGTTTGAATCCAGGTAAGTAGCTACTGCCTTAATGAAGTTAGTAGGCCCACGTTCATCCACATTACAAACAGCATTTAACGTTATGTGGCCGTGCAGATTTGGGTTCAATTGCAGGTCTTGAGTCGTCTCCTAAATCTCTGCCTCCACCGCTATTCAGTTGAGATGATTCAATGGAATTTTGGTTATGTGCAAAAGTTGTGCTTTCCTGGTAACTTTTGTTGCTAAAACACACACTCCCAGTATTTTTAAAATGCCATTTAATGGACACAAATAACATGTTAATATCTTTCATCTAATTCTGATGGAATCAATGGATGAAGGGTGAAGATGGTAACCTCACACCAGGTAGAGGTCTCGTGCTCAGATTCTCACCTCAAAGAAGAATACGGTCCGTTATTGTAATACAAAAAGTAAAAATGTTGCTTTTGGCATAATCAAATGAAGTTGAGGCCTAATTGCTTACTAACCTAATCTTGCCCATTACACAACAGGCAGTCTCTCCACTTACTCGTCAGCTGGAGTTGTGGTGTCCTTCCCTCATCTGCAAAAGTTTGGAAGCACTGATAACATTACAGCCCTAAAATACTTTGATGAAACCCAGGGAGATGCGAGTGTTAGCTCCGGGGGAACGAGGGTGCTTAGGACAGGGCAGCTGGTGGCTGCCCTTCTGTCTGGCTCTGCAGGAGCTCATGGAGGAACTCCTAGCTCCAGGGACAATACCCTTGATCATACCCAGGCATCAGGCTTTGATGTTATATTGCATGAGATCCAAGAGCTCTGGGAAAACAATGGCCAACTTGAGGAATGCTCTGAAAACTTAAACTTGAGACAACAGTGATAGTGGAGGCCCTACAAGAGCAGCTCAATGACGTGACAGAACTAAATGAAATTTGAAAGAACTTGCCAGCATGGAGAAGAGTGCTGATCAATCTTACGAAAGCTACAGATATCTGATCTTCGTGTCTTTCACAGCAGACAGTTTGTCATGGACGAAAAAGCACAAGTGGTACTAATGACCGTTACATTTAGTCAACCTGGAAAGCTCCAGGCTCACTGTGTCAGCAGGTTTTTGGTAGTGTAGTTGAAAACGCACCACTAATGCAGAATATCCACTGATAGGACAAAGGCATTACTATGGGCTCCGTCTTGAAGAGGGTCCCTTTGTAAAAATGTAGTTTTAATACCTTCATTAGTTAAATGCTGCATATTCCAAAATTAAAGTGTTTATGCATATTACCACACAGAAAATCTGGGGCCAGGTAGTATTCCTTTGTGCAGCAAAGTGAGTAACAGGAGCCCAGGGTGTCTGTAGCAGGTTAACTTGGTCATGATTATGAAGTCAGAATGTTTAATGCAGCCGATTGGAGCACCTTCACTGACAGTTCAGTCTCCATCCTGTAGGAGGCGTTGAAAGCACGTCAGCCACACTTGTTCAAGATGGAGCAGTAACAGCAGGTGGTGCATCTTGAAGGTTTGGAGAAGGTCACTTCTTGGAGCACTAATACATCTGCTGCTGGCTCTTATGGGCAGCATTTTGAGTTGTGTGTCCAATTTTCACCCCTTGATGAAAACATGCAGCTGCACGTCTTCTAATCCTCCTGGAGGCACTGGGATGCAATTTCAGAGTATCCAAAGGACTTTCCTGCACATAACATCCTGAAAAAGGAGACAATCAATAAAACTGTCTAGACTCAAGCATCACTTCAGCAGTAGTACAAAACATAACCAAGCATCAGTTCTACTTAAGCTGTATATCCGGATACAAGCAAAATAGGACATCGCATCAGCCTCAAAATGCACATGAATTAGAAAGCACACAAGGTCTAAAAATTTAGATTTTATTGAAAAAGTATAAAATATCACTCAATTGTACATTTATTCTGCTTTCTTCCTTCCTCGTTTCCCAGTTGCTTTAGCAGCAGGGGCGTCGCTGCCTGCTTTAGCAGCCTTGCTCCGAGACGCCATTCTGGTCGTCTTTGCTGCTTTAGTTTTGGCTGGATCAGAGGCTCCATCACCCTCCTTCTCTGCAGCTTTTCTTGCTTTTGGCTTCTTTGCTGGAGCAACGCTCGAGGTAGTTGGGTCTGCGGTAGCAGCTTCCTTTTCTTTCTTAGATTTTTTGGGAGGCTTGGATTCCTAAAATTAATAAAAAAAAAAAATAAATAAAGTAATTCAAGGCTTTCACCAAAAATGTATAATTAAGTCCAAGCAGTCCCTTCAGGCCCCAGAAAAATGTACATTTAAAGTTCTGCATTTTTAAAATGGCCATACTATAGTTAGGTTCTACCGAGTTGTTGGCAGGATACTGCAGTGGAACAGCATGTGCTCAGCCCACCCACTGTAAGAAAGGGTTGAATAAAGTAATATTCCATTGATACACTTTTATGCCCCAGAGTTTCTGTAGATCATGGCCTCAAAGCTGTTGGGAGTTGCCATGTGTCGACATATTTGCAAGTAGGCACATGTGTAACTTTAAAAACATCAGCATTGCAGCTTTTAAGGCTTGTCATTGTTTACCCCACAAACATTGCCTCACCTCCTTTGACTCGTTCTCTTCATCGATCTTGTCTTTCTTCTTAGCGGTACCTTTAAGAAGTTACAGGCCATTAAACAGATAGCCCTTAAAATGGCTTATAATAAGGTAGGCGTCATTAGATTTATTCATACCCGCTTTCTTGGGCTTCTTGGCTCCATCCTTCGCTTCTTTTAGCACATTGGGATCCACGTTCTCAGTTTTAGGCTTTGCCTCCTTCACCTTTGGTGCAAGCTAGTGTCAGAGGACAAGAAGGAGCGATTCATAGCGTTATTTGACCCCATTTGATGAAACTGTATTTGGACATCTTACCCTAAATTTCCCCGTTGCGCCGGTAGTGACAGTGGAGTTGGCAGGCCGCACCAGCGTGCCAGTCTCGATTCCTTTCTTCAGGGCCTTACAGACCAAGTGCTTAAGCCTTACCAAATCCACAGAGGGGTATTTTTGTTTGATATAAGCCTGAATCGCTTGGGAGGAGACCCCTTTGCGTGAGTCCAACTCTTTAAGTGCTTCTTTCATCATTACTGCTGTGGAGGGATGAGTCGCAAGTTTGCGCAGCACCGCAGCATCTGGAGAGCAAATGGACGTTGTGAGTTATAAGTGACGGGTTTAAAATGTCATGTTATCTGGTTAAATGAAAAACAAGCGGACCTGGTTTCTTCTCTCCCACCGGGGTGTCGCTGGCGGACGACACAGGCGGATTAGCGGAGTCTGCTGCGGTCTTTTTAGGAGGCATAACTGAGAATTGAATATGAAAAGGAAACCAAGACACTAAAAGCAGCGCGTTTGAAGGCTGAGGAGCGATGCTGGTCTCCGTCTTTATGCAGCTGCTTCCGGTAAAATGAGACCAGGTGAATCTCATCAGCATCAGGTGCGATCCATTAGGGTTTTTAAATGACAGCTGTCAGGGATATTAGTTCATCCACCTACTTATATATATATAGAGAGAGAATTTGAAAATATTAAACTTTGGCGCTCCCAAGTGGTGGTATCAAAAACTACTCTGTGACAGACAGCAATTGTCCTACAGATTTAAGGTAAATTGAGAACGAAGGGCTAATAGCAACCTGTGGACGACATTATTAGGTCTGACAGTTCACTCCTGTCCCTCCTGCAACACCCGTGTCAGGTGGTGACTCTAAGTATCTGAACAATATGTGTGTGTTTTGTCTTCATTTATGTTGGTATGCCACAGGTCTGACTATTGTCTTTGGAAACTATGACTAGATATCAAATTTAATTTGCCAAGCACATGCATGATCTCCAGATGACAAAGTATTTTTCATTTTTAGCTTTACCATTTTCCTCTTTTACGCGCTTGAGCAAATTACACTTAAGATACTCCTAAAAATTCCGAGGGCCATTACACTATACAAAATGCAAATGTACCACTGATGAAGACGCGCTTATTACGAAAAACCTTTTTGCAACTAAAACGGCCCCTTCCTGCTTATTAAAAGGTGGACAATTAATATCAGTTGTGTGTTTTTAGTTTGAATTTCCCCCAGGCAGTAAGGTAAGTTAAAAGAGTTCACGGGAAACATGGGCGCATTGATTTCACAACTAGAGCAAAAAACATCTGTGCAGGATAAGTCTGGAAATATGAAGTGAAATGCAGATTTCCGTGTTTGTCAGGAGTTTGCTTAGAGCTGGCATTAAATATGTTCAGTGTGTGTGCAGGTGTGAGCAGCTTGTGAACAAATGATGAACAAACTCTTTGATTTTCTTTTGAACTATTTAGCAACACTGTGGCTGACCTAATCTAAACACAGCACATGCTCTTGGTGTGAAGTGGGGGTGTTTCTTTGTGTGAGTCAACGTCGATGCTAGCTGTGGTTTTTCTGAGAGCAAGTTCAGCAAAATGAAACTTGAGTACATCAAAGCCCACATAGTCAAGTATCTTCTTTCTAGTCAGTCTCAGTATTTGACTTCATCATGGCT